ATATATATATATATATATATATATATATATATATATATATATATATATCAATCGAACAAATAATCCTTATTGTATAAATAATTGCAAGAACACGTGATATGTGGGGTTAGAGAGATTAATTTCATAATCATAATTAGTAGGATTTAAAGTTCAATAAATTATAAATTTCTTTATTAGGAATTAGGGTCGTGGAATTCTATATGCATATATACAAAATAGTGTTTCTCATGCTGTAGAATTGATTAAAAGGCCGTTTACTAAACGATTATCCGGTAAGTGTTTATCGGATAATTTTTCTCAACGGATCAACATAGTAAGGGTCAAGAATCTTATCTGGTAAGAGCAATGATTATGATGGAGAGTCTTATCTGGTAAGTGAGGGTGACGACTCTTACCCGAGTAAGCGCTTATCGGGTAAATTGTTGCATAAGATACCGTTTTGATGTACTACAATCTTATCGATAAAAATAAATTATAATACTGATTTCTATTGGTAAACACTTATCGAGTAAGCATTTGGGTAAACGGCCCCTAGCTCTATATTTGATGAAAAAATCGACATAAATTATACTCGAAAATTAATTTTTAAATACTAATTTAAGGTGTTGGAGTTGTACTTTGATTTCATATTTTTTTGGTAATATATTTTATTTCTTTGATTTAAAGACTTTTCCTTAAATAAATTGTATATGTTGAAGTAGAACTCTTTTATTTTGATAAGGAAAAGTCCAACTTTTTTAATTTAAATAGTTTAGTTCTTAAATCTATTTTAATGAAAAAACCAATAAACTTTTTTATACATTTAAATATATATACATCATTCGATATATGTATCTTAAACAATATATACATCGATCCAATCGTGGTTAGCAACCAGCACACATCTATAGATATCGTGTATACATATGTAGGACCGACGTGTATATATACATATAACACATACAACATCGTGTAAACATATGTATATAACACGGGCCGACGGATATATATATTTACAACACATGCACATGTGTACATATAATACACATTGCAGTTAGAAACCAAAAAATATATATATATATATACAAATAACACATATACATGTATATATACGACACCTACGCATAAAAATGTGTATATATAACACATAAAAAAAAATGAGAAAATAAGAAAAATAAGATAATCTGCGAGGGAATTGGCCAAAAATGGTTTCCCTCGCGGATATGCGAGGGATTATCCTATTTTTCTTATTTTCTCATTTTTTATGTGTTATGTGTACATATGTTTATGTGTAGGTGTCGTATGTATACATGTATATGTATTATTTGTATATATATATATATATATATATATATATATGTTTTGGTTGCTAACCGCGATGTGTATTATATGTACACATGTGCATGTGTTATATGTATATATACCCGTCGGCCCGTTTATATACATATGTTTACACGATGTTGTATGTGTTATATGTATATATACCCGTCGGTTCGTATTATATACATATGTATACATGATATGTATAGATGTGTGTTGGTTGCTAACCATGATTGGATCGATTTATATATTGTTCAAGATACATATATCGAATGTATATATGCTTAAACGTATGTGTAAATGTGAATGTATAGATAGTATGTGTGTGTTATTTGGACTTTATTCGGTTTTATTGGGCCTTAACCCATTTTATTGGGTTTTGTTATGTTTTATTGAGTCTTAATCCATTTATCGGGTTTTCTTGAGATTATTGGGCCTTAATGGGCTTTATTCAGGTTTATTGGGCCTTAATCCATTTTAGTGGACTTTGTTCGGTTTTATTGGGCCTTAATCTATTTTATTGGACTTTATTCGGTTTTATTAGTCTTTGTTCAATTTAATGGGCATTAATGAGCTTTATTCGTTTTTATTGGGTCTTAATCCATTTTCTTGGACTTTATTTGGTTTTATTAGGCCTAATGGACTTTATTCGGTTTTATTAATTAATCTTTGTAATATTCTAATAAATAATTGATAATTTAATAATCAATAATTAAAAATTAAAAATTAATTAAATTTGTAGTTATTAATTAAAAAAATTTGCGAGAGAACTGATTTCTGGCCTTTCTGATCAGCGAGAGATTAACGATGAAAATTGTTTTTGGTCAATTCTCTCGCTAATCCCTAGCTGATCAGCGAGGGAAATGATTTTTGGCCTTTCTGTCGCTGATCTCTCGCTGATCAACGAGGGATATTGCTTCTGGCTAATTCCCTCGTTGATCAGCGAGAAAACTGGTTTTTGGTCATTCTTTGCTGATCCTTATTTTTCCTTCGCTGATACCTTGTTTTCTAGTAGTGCATTAAATTTTCAATTTTTAAATGATTAAGTACTAGAAAAAAATTAATAAATAAATCATTGAAATTTTGCTAGCTCGTTAAATATAACATTTTTTTAAGTTAAAAGGATGTAGGTAATCCATTTATAAAAGTGTCATGATTTGTTTATTAAAAACTAATCATTTAAAATGAGAAAGTTTAATATTTTTTTATTCAAAATAAATAAGTTTAATAGTGTTTTTATTTTAAAAAAAAGTAGTTCTTAGTAATTCAAAATAAGAAAGTTTAAATGATTTTCTCACTAAAAAAATAGGGACTAAATCATTCAAAATGAGAAAAATTGGTTGGATTTTTTTTTGAACTTATCCTTTTTTTATATGTTATTATTTAAATTCATAGTATATATCTATACTATATTATAAAGTATTTGACAAAAACTCATAAAAACCATTTTTTATGCATGAATTACTATTTATTAATTCATATCACTTAAAATTCAAGTTTACAAGTAAATTTTGCGTAAGTACAACGTATTAAAACTCCATTTTATGAATTTGTGTAACTAACTACAGATTAACATAATCAAACATCGGATAAACACCTCATTTTAAATATAAACATAGTCAAATATACGATAAACATCTCATTTTAAATATAAAAAATTTAAAATATAATTACGATAATAATTGAGTTTTAATAGAATATTTGATTATTATCGTTATAAAAAATTATATTATTAAACCAAAATAAATTATTTCATTATTAACCTAAATTGAATTACAATAAAATTTTGAATTAAATAAATTACATAAAAACTAGAACTTTTAAATAGTTAATTTTATTTTTGACAACTAATCAAAGTATTTAATTAAATTTTTTACAAGAAAATCTTTAATTAAAATTAGTTACCTATAAATAGTATATCAATTATCTAATATACATCGTATTTTAAAGACGTTTGTTAATCAAAATGTATTATAGTGATAAAGTTCACAATGTTTCACGTGTATCACAGTATAATTTCTTTGTTTTATGAAATATATCATAGTGTGCATTTTCGTTATTTTCATTGTTTTATAAAGGTATCACATTGTGTATCTTGTACGTATATCTGAGTATCATAGTGAATATCGTTTGTAGGTGTCACAATGTGTATCTTGTGTTCACATAAGGTTCATCGAATAAGATTCGTCGGAGAGAGAAAAAAGAAGAGATGAGATAAAATGTTTATAAAATCCATAAAATACCCTTAATTAATATTTTAAGTTAAAACTATTAATTTTATAATTTAATCTTTATTTGTGGTTTAATTAGGTCCATATATATACATATGTGGTGTGTAGCTAGAGTTTTGAACGAAAGATTCCTAGAATATGGTGCACGTGTAGCTCAAAGTTATTGAATTTTTTTATTGTTATAATACAAAATACTTTTTAATAGAAATTTAATATCATAAATTAATAAATAGCTTTCTTTAACATAAGAATTATTTTATGTAATAAATAAACAGTATTTTATACATAAAAATAGTTTTTAAGAGTTTTTGTCAAATATCTTATGTTATAGTATAAATATGATTTTATAATCTACCAAACACAAATCAAATGTAGA